CATAGCCCTGTAATTTTTTGAAGACAAGAATTCACCCAAAAAGAACCCGGACATAAGCTCGGAGGTCGATGTCGCTAAACTACTCGGATGATGACATAATCCAAGTCTCGGGGACTACTTCAGAACACAAATTTTCAAACAACATAAAGGATCAAGACCCTCCAACTTTTTGTTCCAAATAGCAAGAGGCTCGGGGGCTACACTCAGTGAGTGCACTTTTTCTTCGAAAAAGCGCACGTCACCAAAAGACTTCCTCAACGCAGACCACTTCAAGACATTACGATAAAAAGAACTCGGAACGAGCCATATTCGAGTTCTTTTTTATAAAACTTCAACGAACAATCAGAGCAACTTCAAGACAAGATCCTCCAGCTCCTTGTTTCAAATAGCAAGAGGCTCGGGGGCTACAACCAGATGGATGTACTTTTTCTTCACAAAGCACTCACCACTCGAAGATCCCAAGAAGCGCTACAAGGTGTCACTCCAGAAAGCACTCGGATAACATTTTGTTCCTACCCAACAAGACTTGAAGGAGCAAAGCGAGACTTTCAGAGCTCAACCATGAAGTGCTCGGGGGCTTGTCGATGCGGGACCCACAGGATACCCCGTAAGGGAGAGAGAAGATCTAGTTCAACTAGGATTCTTCCCATGTAATCTTAGTAGTAGAACTATTAAGTAATCCTACTAGGAAATCTCATTGTAAACCGACTATGACTCTGACCTCCTAACTATATAAAGGAGGGCAGGGCTCCTGAGAGAAGAGGACGACAATTGTACAACATAACACTTCATAATCAATCCAACGCAAAGGCTAACGCCGACTGGACGTAGGGTCGTTACTCGATCTACGATCGATGGCCTGAACCAGGATAAATCGACTATCTCTTGCATTTACCATCGAGTTCAGCATACACCGAAGCCTGAACATACTGCCCCGGGTACCCCCGTGGCAGGCTATCGGTGGTGAAACATCGACAGTATGCCGATTAGTTAATACAACTCTATTTTAACCATTATAATTCCACTTCTTCTATAATTCAAGTGTCTAAATTTTAAGATGCTTTCAAGCAACACTTTTGTACAACCAACCAGTATGGGTAAATTGTTATTTCTGTGGTATGTTATTTATCTTTGTACCTGAATTTTAGCTGAGTCCCATTATCACCACGCACGATAGGAACCGGGCATCCAGCATACCGCAGACCGCCCCCTTCAGCAGTGTGTCCAACACCACTGGCTTCTCTTTCTCGCGCAATAACATTGACGCCTTTGTCCACCGGATCGTGCCGCACATCTCTGGTTGCAATAGGTCCTACGGACTACGGTTCATGGCTTCACGCGCAAGAGGAGAGGTCAGGAGGGATTGGGCTAAATTGCATACAACAAGGGCCTCGTTGGTGCCGGTGCGTACAAAAAGTAAGGGCCTCGGTGGTGCATCACGTACATGACTGGCGCCTATTGTAGGATATGCATACATCACCAGGCGGCTGAAGAAAGAAGTTGGTTGGCTTTTGGCTGCCGGTTGTCGTATGCCAGCCAACCAGGTCGGCCGTAGCATGGCCATGGCTGCCTGAACCTCGTGCGTGGCCGTCCGCTAGCAGTAGGAATCCTTGTCACAGCGTGGCCATGGCTATAGTTGTTCATGCAGCCCGAGGCACGACGACACGGCACGAAGCCCGCTTTTTTAGCCCGACACGAGCCCGGCCCGGCCCGAGGGAGCAGGGCGTGCCTGGGCCGCTGCTTAGGCCCGTGGGCTGGCACGGCACGGCCTGGCCTAAGTCGGTCGGCCCGGCCTACCCCCTCCCCCTCCTCACTCATCCTCCCCTCCCCAAGGCCCAGCACGGCCGGCCCACCTTCCCCGCCTCCCCCCCTCCGCATATAAAAGCGCACGGGCCGGCTCCACAACGCAAGCTCGTCCTCGCATGGCTCGCCCTCCGTCCCCCTTTCCCACACGTGCAAGCTCGCCCTCGCCTGGCTCGCTCCTCCATCCTTCCTTCTCTACTCCGCCGCTGAGGTGCGCGGCCGTGGGCTCGGGGCTCCTCACCTCCGCTCGCCGGTCGGGATCCAGATACGACGACCGGCGTGCCGCCCACCCCTCTGTGGAGTGGCCCTACGACCCTACCTCCTCGGGTGCGCGGCGTCGAGCTGGCGGCCTCCTCCATCCTCCACGGATCTGGCCTCCTCCATCCTCCTCCTCCGGCTCCGCCATTGATCCGACGGTCGCCGCCTTGACCATGACTCGAAAGCTTCGTCTGCAGCAGCCTCCCCGCCTCTCTCTCTCTCTCTCTCTCTCTCTCGGGCTGTGGTTGCGGGCTTCGGGATGGCCCGGTCCGCATGACCGCACTCGCACCCCGCTTCTCCCCACGCGCGACGCAGGAGACGGGCCTCGTGCCCTTCGTGCCACCCGCTGCCGCCGCCGTCGCCATTTTGACCTCGTCCTCCGTCCTATCTCCCTTCCCCTGCTGATGTGGGCCTCGGGCTGGCCTGACCTGTTAAAAAGGCCGTGCTTTCCGGGCCGGCCCGACACAGAAAGTGGCCCGACGGGCCGTGCCTAGGCCGTCAGCTAAGCACGGTGGACTAGGGCGGCATGGCCCGGCAGCCCGTCGTGCTCTACCGTGCCGTGCCTGGCACGGGCCTATGCCGGGGCGGGCCGGGCGGCCCGAATGGCCATCTTTAGCCATGGGCGGACACTAGGTGTTGGCCTACCGGTGAAGTGTGCTTGCTTCCTGGTGATGCGGGCAGGATGCAGCCTTGATGGTTTACATGTCGAGAGGCCGAGAGCCGCACTTAAGAATGCGATGATGATGACGCTTTGCTTTGAACGACGGTGAGTGGTGAGATGGCCTAGAGAGCTCCGCCCCTCGTTCCGCCGGTGCCCACCCCGGGCCCGCCAGCCACATCCTCCCGCCAGCTCCCACTCCTAGACCGGCGGTCACCCACTGCGCCGTCGCCCTTCTCGGGCCCGGCGGCCACCGCCTCCATCGGCTCCCAACCCGGTACCGGCGGCCCCCATTTTCCGCCATCATGGTCGTCCAGAGTGAGTCCCCTCGGGCAATGATGACGACGACCCACCTCAGCCGCACCCAACAATCACAGCCCCAAATCCCACCCACCCACACCAGCCGCCTCGTCGTGCACCCCACCCAAAGCAGCCGACGACTCGTGCTTGCGCTCCAGCCGGCAGCGACAAACGCACACCTCGTGGTCCTGGTCCCGGGCTGCCATCCATCGGGTATGAAATCTCCATCCAAGATCAATTCCTCCATGCCTTTCACTCCATCGCCCCCGGCATGGTTGCTCTAGCATCGTCTCCTTGCCCCGTCTGGCTCAGTCCCCAATCCCGTGATCCTCGCTTTAACACCTTCTTTATGCAAAAATGCTATATATTGCCTACTAGTCACGAATCCCGGTCACCTAAATGCAGTTAAAGTCTTGCATGGTGTGTTCATGGTCATGGTCTCCTATTAAAATGTGGCCAATGCCCTGGTCACATATCTTTTCACATTCACGTAGTTAGTTAGGAGGGCCATAAAAAAAAGGAGGAGAAATTTTGGCTCTTTAATATTAGGTATATAGATATATAGATTTGTGTTTAGCTACATATGTTAACATAAATACACTGCTTATATGTATTTATAAGTCGCAAAAAAAGGTGATATGTATTTATATATGGTTCAATTCAATAGTACTACATCCGTCCTAAAAAGAGTGCAACTATGGGTTGCGTGCCATGAAAAATGGTTCACATTTGACCAAGTTTTCAGTGAATAATATTCACAGTCATGTCTTTAAATTAATTTATTATGAAAATACATTTCGTAATTAATCCGATGGTATTTATTTGGTATCATAAACATGGATGCTTTTTTATCTATTTTGGTCAAATTTAAGTTACTAAAACGTGATATTGTCAGAGAATTGCATTCTTTTAGGAACGGAGGTAGTAAAAAAAATTGAACCAGCAGTTCAACTGGAGTTCCAAATAGCTGGGCAATGAACCGACGTCCTTGCCCATTTGATGTCCGGTCTAATCTTAATAACCATATCCATAACATGTGATTTTTTTCCTATCCACGTTTTCTGATATCTAGGTTGTACAATTTTTTACAGCCCATTTGGATGTAGATATTCAACCTTTAGAATTGGAGTCGATGATAGCTAGCTCTGAATGTGGCTAAAAACTTGGAACCGGAAATCGATAGCAATGTCAATTATCTATAGTTTTATACATCCAAACAGGAATCGAGTTGGGCTGGTTCGTACAGCAAAATTAAAATCGTGGCCCATTTTAATATCATAACTGATTTGGTATTGAGGATTTAATTCCATAACGTTGATATCGAAATGAAGCCTTGACTCATCTTCCCCAACACATCGTGCCACTACAACCTATCCCGTCGACGGTCCTCTGCCTCCCGTAGCCGTCGTTCTATAAGCCATCAAATCGAAGTTGGGGCAAAACTCTACTTTCAATCACGTATAATCCGACCGTCAAAAATTGAGCAATGGCATGAATATCGACACGTCAAAAACTGAGCAATGGCATGAATATCGACACGTAGGCCATTGCGCTGAATGCCAATGCTTTACCAGATCTTGGCAAGTTAGCAACAATGGTCAATGACAAAGCTAGAGAAGAAGCTGTTTCAAAAGGATATATATATATATATATATATATATATATATATATATATATATATATATATATATATATATATATATATATATATTTCTCAAACATCGAGCCATCGCTAAAACCAGATCAGGTTTAAGTATTCACAAAGAACTGCGACCACATTACAGAGATATCACGATAATCTAGTGAAGTGCAAAATCAATGCTAGTTGTGCAAAAGAGATATCACGACGAGAACAGCCTGCGAGGACGAAAGCGTCGGCGTTTCTCACATCGCAGCGGCGGCGCCTGTCGTGGGCACGAGCTCGAGCGCGCGCACTAGGGGCCTGGTTGCTTGGTTGAGGCAAGCGTTTCCCCTCAATCCCTCATTGCTGCGCGTTGCGCACCTCCAACGCGCACTGCGACTGGAAGAAGGGCACAAGGGACGCCGGCTCCGCCACTGGCGCCGACAGCGCCGGGTGCCGCCACCCCGCGCCGACAGCGGGCGCCGGCGGCCTGGGGGAGACGTCGTGCGCCTGGCGCTCCCCGCTGCCGCCGTGCCGGGCGGCGCCGCGCTGCTGCTGCTGCTGCTCGGCACCGCTCCTACCCTCGGCCAGCTGGTCCCCTCCTCCCTCCTTCGTGGCGGCGGCCCCCGCCTGGTCCGCCTCCCAGACCGGCACCGTGGGCGACACGACGAGCGGCGACAGGAGCGGGATCGGCGCCCTCCCGTCGCCCCACACCGCGGGGCCCGCCCCAGCCCCCGTCCCCGCACCGGCGGCGGCCTTCTCCAGCTGCAGCGACGCCGGCGCATGCTTCTGGAGAAGGCTCGGCGGCCGTTTCTTGCATCCGGAGCCTGAGGCGGACATCTTCATCTCCATCGACTGATGATGAGCAGGTGGATTATTGACTCGCTTTCCGCGATCCCCTTCTCGCGGCGACTCGCTGTCGCTGATCTCTCGTCTGCCCGGCTGGCTTCTGCAGGGAACTGCCGTAGGGTACTCCTACATGCGTGCATGCGGAGCTCGTGGGATGGCCATATGACTATAAAGGGCGGAGCGGTGGCGAGTGGGTGGCCGGGTTTGGAGGAGACGGGGGCGGCGTGGACGGTGGGGAGGGATCGGTGCGGCAGTTCCCTTGTTTTGGTGTAACGCTCGCTCGCTTCCTGCAACCGTCTCCCAGCGAGATGCCTGCGGTCAGTTTCTGACTTCTGAGGCTATGATCGGATTGGGATCGGCGACCGCCTTGGGATATGTGATCGTAGACTCGATTTGATCCCCTCGTTCTCTTTTAAAAAAATGTGTCCCCTGTCACGTCACTTGGGGGTCGGTATAAGTTTTGGCACGTCAAAACTTGGCCACAGCCTTGTTTAGATTGGGGTCAGAAATCAGTATTTGGCACTGTAATACTTTCGTTTGTATTTGACAATTATTGTTCAATTATGGTTTAACTAGGCTCAAAAGATTCGTCTCGTAATTTACAATTAAACTGTGTAATTAGTTATTTTTTTATCTACATTTAATACTCCATGCATATATCTAAAGATTTGATGTGACGAAGAGAGAGTGAAAAAACTTGCAATCTAAACAAGGCCCACGTTACAAATAGTTGGGATCGTACGACTGATGAGTGATAAACAAACGTTACGTAGTTCATTGAACTGACAGTACAGCAGAAGACGGCACAGTAAAAAAATCTGGAATTGCAGGGCAAGGTTGATTATGTTAATAACAAGTGCTTATGTTTTTTTAACAATTCTTCACCGATACTTTTACACGTCTTTTTCCTTGCAAAAATAGATACACTAGACACACACACACACAAACCAACTCCATAGAACTTGGAGAAAGCGTCTCTTAGTGGGCCAAGGCGTCGTCAACGTCGTCTCGATGAACAAGAGAGATACATGTCCCCGTCTTTGTTGTCTCCGTTGCTTTTCGCGTATATACGCTAGCTGTTCCCTCATCTTGCTTCGGAAGTGCATCGTGATCAATCAAGCACGGAATGGTTCCATATCTCAAGCTCGTGATGGTGTAACACTAACATATATACACGTTTCTTTTTTTTTTGAATCTATATACACGTTTCTTTGTGCAACTGGATGCCTTGCGAAAGGCGTCTTCATAATAAAGCTGGGATTGAATCCCTAACAAACAGTGGCCTGAAAAACGCGCAATTGCACGTTCTCGGGAAAAAAAACGGTGGCCCTTTATCATCGTATATTACCGGACCGATCACAGCTTCGTCTTTTCGGCCCGGCCCACAACGTGGCCGGCGGGCGGCTGGCCGTGGAGGTGGCCGCTTCCTTTTCCGCAGGATTCCGTCCCCACCCTCTCTTATCCGCTTTCCTCCTCCCGCCGCCCCCTCCCGCTTCTCTCCTTTCCCGCAGCCTCACCGCGGTCCTGCTCGTCCACGCGTTCACTTTCAACGCGACGCCGCAGAGCAGAGAGCTAATTCCTGAGCTAGGAAAGTAGTAATGCGTCATTTGGCCGCGACCTCTGCGACGCGCATTTGTTGAGAACCGCCTGCGAACTGCCGTCGATGGCGTTCCTCGCGCCTCCGCAGTTCAAGTGGCCCCCTTCCACCCGTGCGGCGGTGTTCAGGGAGCCCTCCGGCGGCGCAGGCTCCCGTCCCAGTCGGATAAACTGCTCTTTCTCCTCCACAGCAGTCGTCGATGCAGAGCGCCTCGAGTGCTTATCCGTCGAGCCGCCGCCTTCTCCTCACCGAACCCTTCCGGTAACGTCTTTCTCCATCTCGTCCGTCTGACTCAGCTGTAAGCCTGTAACTGCAAATTTCAATACGGGCTAGACTGGCAAATTTCTAAATTGTTCGTCTCAGGGATGTTTCGGTGAGGCGCTTCTCAACAAGGAGGCCATGGTGGCGGCTGCGGCCGCGGAAGCCGTCGCTCTGGCTCGAGCGGCGGCCGAAGTCGCCGGAGAAGTCGCCCGAATGGCGCAAAAGGATCACCCGGCGGACTTACCGCGGCGCGATGACACGGGGGACAGCTTCCTGTCAAGAGAGGTCCTCCGCACCGAGGTGGGGTTGGAGGCGAGGCGCGCCGGGCTCGAATTGTTGGAGGGCGATGAGTTCAGCAGCATCTTTAGCGACGAATCCGAGGATGACGATGATGACGGGCATAGCATAGCCGTAGCGGTGAAGTCGGCGCGGCGGTCCGAGAGAAGGGCTCGGAGAGTGAGGGCAGCGATGAAGGCGGCTAAGTGTTTCAGCAGCAGCAGGAATGCTGTTGGAGCGTCCTCCACGAGGAAGAAGCGGCTGAAGGGTTGCCAGACTCCTCTCGGGTGCTTCTATAAGATGACCGGCCCCAGGCTTCTGACGGCGGAACAGGAAGTCGAGTTCTCAGAAGGCATTCAGGTATGATGACTCGCAATTAAAACTTATTTGTGATTTGTGGTGCTATGCGGAGACATATCAGTAGTAGATTATTGAGTAAAATGCATCGCGTCTCCCTAAACTTTTCTCACATTCTCATCCGGGTCTATGAATTCTCAGATGCTCCTTCAACTTTATATAGCCAGGCAGAGTTCCTGTCACTTTCTTCTTCTTCTTTTTAAAAAAAAGATGCATTTCAAGTTTACTTTAGTTCCCATCATGGACTTGAATTCTAACTTCAAACGAACCACTTAAAAAGTTAAAAGGACCAGATGATCACTTTGAGTTTATGGACCAGATGAGAATGTGGGAAAAGTTTGCGGACTCATGATGCATTTCACTCTTAGATTGTTGAAAGGTTGCAATAGTATCTGTGTGCCCTGTGCTAAGTAGCGAAGATAGTGAAATGCACAATGTTGCAGCGCAGCTCTGTTCAACTTAGATCATAAACAAACTGCACATTGCACGCATGATAGCTTGTGAAATTTATTCTTGTGTTTGATGCAAAATTGCAAATTTATATAGCCATAATTTAGTGTGCTCTTCCCCTTGGCGGCATCAACCATCACCATTCATCAACCAACTCACCATTTTCGTCAGGTGTTTCTGCTAGCTACCGTTATCCTATTGCTACGTACCATCACGTTAAACTTGTCATGCATGTCACAATGAGTGTATGCAGGACCTCCTGAAACTGGAAGCCATCCAAAAGGAGGTTGTGCAATATAATGGCGGTGAACCAACATTTTCCCAGTGGGCGGCAGCAGCTGGAACTGATGAGAACACTCTGCGGAGACGCCTGAATTACGGGGTTTACTGCAAGAACAGGATGGTGAAATCTAACGTGCGACTTGTAATCTCAATCGCAAAAGAACATGAAGGCCCTGGAATGGAGTTTTCTGATCTAATTCAGGTGCTGTACATGTGTGCTCCTAGAGAAATAAGATTATTGCTTTAATTATATTACACATTCTCATTTCGTTGTCTTCATGGCAGGAAGGGATGCAAGGCCTGATAAGAGGCGCAGAAAAGTTTGATGCTTCGAAGGGTTTTAGATTCTCCACTTACTCTCATTGGTGGATCAAACAAGCAATACGCAAGTCTGTTTTAGAACAAACCCAGATAATTCGCCTGCCGGTGTGTTATCCTTCCTCCCTGTACTTTCACCATTTGAATTTCTTGATATTGCTGTCTACGTATCGGTGAAGGCAGCGGTGGTGATGATGATGATGGTACCAACATTCTAATGCTGCATTCTTTTACCTGGCGTTACGTGAGCTCAATTTCGATGTTGTAATTTTTTGTACCTAAAACATTTGTTTCTCTGTTATGTAGGCACATATGGCTGAAGCAAGTTCCCGAGTGAAGGAATGCTGCCGGCGACTCCGTCGTGAGTTGAAACGGCTACCCAGCAACGAAGAGATTGCGGTGGACACTGGCATGCCAATCCGGCGGGTGGAGGCAGCCATGAGCCTCCCAAAATACAGCGTGTCCTTCACGAGCAAGGTCGGGTGCACGGACGTCACATACCAGGTTTGTTCGTCATTGACGTCCTTCTCATGTAAACGCTACGGTGGAACATACAGCATGACAATAATAATGGCGCCTGAATCTAACGGCCTCCGCTTTGCTTCGTCGACCTGGCAGGAGATCATGCCGGACACGAGCGCCGAGACAGCCGAGGAGGTGCTGCACCGGTGGCTGATGAAGAAGGACGTGAACACGGCGCTGGAAAGCCTGAGCCCGCGCGAGAAGCTGGTGATGCGGTACCGGTTCGGCATCGAGGGCGGGCGGCCCAGGACCCTGCACGACATCGGGCAGCTCATGGGGGTGAGCCGGGAGCGGATCCGGCAGATCGAGCTGGGCGCGTTCCGGAAGCTGCGGAGCAAGAAGAGGGTGCAGTCGCTGCAGCACTACCTGCAGCCGGCGGAGAGCTGGTAGCCATGTCAGCACTACCCGCATCGTTGCACACGGCTTTCCATGACGACTCGTATATATGTATGTACACCGTTCTTTTTAGAGGATTTAACGTATACACGTTCGATCCATTTCGTTGTCCATGTTATAGTACTAAGTGTATAAAGAAGTTGAAACATTTTTTTAATGCAAAAATACAAGAATTGTGTTCCAGACTTTCAGTAAATAACAATAGTACGGATTGTGAAGCCAGCCGTTTCTGTACTGTGCTGTGCACCACACGTATGCCCACCCCGGATGCACACACTGAAAATTTCTTCCAAGTCACGGAATCAGCAAAGAGCAGGGTTTTGCAGCCGGTTCTGGTAATCAACCAAACACAAGTTCAGTCAGTCCACCGTTGTCGGATTCTCGTCAGGTGCTGAAGTGGCAGAAACCGGGCAACGGTGAACTGTCGGATTCTCGTCAGTCTACTTTGAAGCCAGCAGAGATGGTGGGTGGGGCTTCGTTATCAGAGATGAGCACCGCACGGTGCTGAAGGCTGGGGCTGGGAGAGAGGAACATTTGCAGCCAA